TTTAGATATAGCGGTGGCTATTTACCAACTATAAATTTGTAAATTAATATAACCTGGCTACCTATGCGGGATTAAGATTATGGCCATGAGATAATTCTTTACATTAATTTGAATGCAATTCTTTGCTGATTTTTTTTACCGCCCTTATTAAACAGTATAGTAAAGACGTAAAGTACTATTTGAACACAAGAATTATATAATTAAAAACTAAAATAACAATTAATAATGATTAAAAATGGTATAAATGTATAATTGATTCAAAAAATTATAAAAATGACATTTTTCCTATTTAAATAATTAGTCCAAACAGAGCATTTTTTCCAATTTTTCCAAATGTACCTTCTTACCAAACAAATAGTTGTGAAAATTATTACACCATCATGTATGGTAGGTATAGATAGGTGCCTAAAATAATATAAAACTGTTTCACTTATTTCTATTTTGCTTTGATACATTTTTCAAATCGAATAATTTGAGAATATCAACTATAATTAAAAACATTTTCCAACAAATATGTATTTAAAATTTTTTTTAATTCTTAAAACAAATCAGTTTTTAACTTGAAATATGAGCTGTCTTTTAAGTACATAATAATTTATAACTTATAAATAAATTGACTTTTATAACATTAATATTTAATACCCTTAAAAGTTTAAATAATTAAAAATACTAAATTAATATATACAAACTACACAAATTTATTTTTCATTGTTATTTATCATACCTATCAACAAACTTAAATTGTATGTTTCTTATAAATGTGACGTGTACTTATACATAATATATTATATTGTATAATTAAAATCGTTTATTTTTACTCATTAAATATAATTTTATATAAATATTTAAAGGAGTTCTCAACAATTATAATAATTTAACAAAGGTTACTGAGTACCTCCTGCATGACAGTGTCAGTGCCCAGTGGCATATGTCAATCATGTGTCAATCATGTAATGCTAAAGCCTAAAGTATACACGCTCCGACCAAATAAATATTGTATTATATATGTATAATATACATTGTATATGCATAAGTTATACTTATATATTATTAAAATCGTGTTGTTACCCAAGACCTAAGTCCTCGAGGAATAAGTTTAGAATACCTACTTAATGTAAATTGTAAAGAATAAAAATGGTTAAAGAGATTTGGTGTTTTTAGATTTTGAGCTTTACTAAGAACTGTTTTTCGAGTGTTATAGTGTAAAGGCGTCATATATAAAGACAAACCAACACACTTTTTTGAATTTGACTAAAACTGAATTTACTTGTAATTTATAGGTCACTGACATAAAAATACTAAAATTCATATTAATTAACGATATTTAAAATTAAAAACACTGTTTATATCGAAGTCCATTTGCTCATATATCATTTAATTTCAGTCTTATTATGATTAATAATTTACGTATTAGGAAATATAGTTAGTAAATATTTCTTATTAAAAATTAAAACCCACTCACACTATCGAACCCTAGCATGGTCGTTATATTGTTGTAGATAAATAGATAATATATATATATATATATAAACTATAAACAATGTATTTTATTTCTATACAATCAAATGTCAAGTAGGTATATAAGAAATAAATTTCCTATAAAATTCAAACTAAAATATTTAATAAATGCATTGATACCTGACTTTACCAAAAGCCATTGACTTGAAATTATAAATACATGTTTTGCACATTAAAACACGATATAATCTAAACTTGTTAACAAAATTGAAAATATTCCATGTAATTTTGTGGTACCTATTACTTATCTTTATAGTAAACTATAAAATAGTTTAAAATATAAACCGTTTGTGACTTATATAATATCCTCATTCATGTATTTTGTTAAACAAAATGTATTCTCTACCAAATGACTAATGCCTACTTACCCTTAATATCGAATAAGCACTTTATATGCTTATATTAAATCGTTTTAACTTCCATGATAAATAATTAAGTCGCCATTTATAGATAATAAGGAGATAATATAGGCAGCCGCATAAAACTATTAAATATTAATGTATTAGTATTAGCCATTATAGGTATATTCATATAGGTAGGAAATACTATGGATAAAACATATTGCCTATTGGTTATTACTTATTACATATATTATATTAATATTAGACACGATTGGTTTAATATGTAACATTAAATAATTTGTGACTATATAGGTATTTATATTTTATACGATTACCAACTCGAAAAAAGAAAGTATATCTAACCCAATCCGTAATAAAGTAATGCATACCTAATACCTATTCAGCTCGACTGCAATTACCACGGTTAGGCTTCAATTTAATATTGGTCCGTTAGCCGTCCGACCAACTATCTTCCGATATTGCATATTATGCATTCACACCAACAGTTAAATTTGATTATATAATTTCCGGTTAATCTAGAGAATTTGTCATACTTTTAGCACATAGCTGTATTCATTAGCATATCTATAGGTACTTAACTATACCTACCTTATTATACTATCTGTGTACAAGCCATGGAGTAAGGTTAGATTATCATATCTTACTCTATAATGGTACAAACATAATATGGCGACATGCCACAATATGCCTACATATACGAGTAGGCAACATAAGTAGGTAAGTACTATTTGTGTAATTATGTAGATATACTTTTTTGTCCAATGAGTTTGAAACCCTTTCCAGTTTCCCAAGTTTAGAAACTAACTAGAATGTAAATAATGAATAATGACAGAATAACTTTTTGGAAATGACAGTAATAGTGGCTACTATAATTAGGTGCACTATACACGGCTACAAACCTAGAGCCGAATTCAAAGCTACGTCGTGTCATGCAAGGGTGTGGTAAGTGGTAACTATATGGTTTATAACTGGTCATCAATATGGTTTAAAAGATGAAATGAAATCAATTATTGGTATACTCAGTTGCAACTGGGTTATAACATGTTACCAAAATATTAATGTCCAATCACAATGCGATTTAATCAACACGATGCGACACACGACGTAGCTGTAAATTCAGTTCTAACCTTAGATCTAGATTTATATGATCTAAGGTTCTAACGTTTAAAGAACGATGCTCTAGTCTAGAGTCTATGTAAGGTTTATAGATTTTAAAGTAATATTTATTAATTGTTACCTTTATTGTTAAATAGTTTATGTCAATCGATACTATTTTAAAAAGATGCCTAATGCCCATATGCTATAGTAGTTACTTACTTAGTAGGGCCTGGAGGTTCAGACGCTCAAAGCTATCAAAATTGCGATGAATATTTTGTTTTTTTAGTATTTAAAAATATATTTGATACCTATAAATAATAATATTAACAGAAGGGTTTAAAAGATATAGTGTAATTAATATGAATTTTCCCTGAGTTTTTTTTTTTATATAGGTATTATAGGTATAATATAAAATAATATTAAAAAAAGGTTTAATAACAACGAATATCTAGACTAAATTATATGAGCTTCAATTTTAAAGTTGTGTCGTTCAGATGGTTAAATAAGTTTGTCCAATCCTGTCTCCTGGAGGAACACGAATGTGTCAGGTGATGGCAGGACTGGTCCAAGTATATCATATAAGTCGCTGGGTAAATGATTGCGATTCCTTGCATTGAGGTATGCAGCAAAACATTCCGTGAGGATGTGTTTTATTGTTAGTTCGACCCCGCAGATCATACATGAGGGGGGCTCATCTGGGGACATTAAAGCACGATTAAACATAAAACGATTGAGCATATACCTTTTTAGCAACAAGATTGAGCATAGAATATTTTACGCGATATTGCCACATTCACGTTGCCAACATTTTGTAATTAATTATTTTCACGTATTATTACATCATTTATGACCACTATTGAGACTTTTATATTGATTTATAAATTAAAATTATAAATATTATTAATATTTTTATTATTACCTATTATAAAACAGATCTATACAGAATAATATGTGACTATATTATAGCCTATGAATCATTTTTTTTTTTTGACAAGTTATATTTTGAATTAATATAATTATTTAAATAAATATTTTTTTATAATACAGTAAAACATTTAAAATGGCAAGGTTGCAGAGTTTTTTATGCTCAATCGTTTAGGTTTTTTTTGTATTTAGATTTTCTTGGATACGCCGACAATTTTGCACAATCGTGTCGCTAAAATGGTGTTTTATGCTCAATCGTGTATCAGCCAGGTAACCATGGGTTATTCTGGTGTGACCTATTCTTAGGCTGTTGATGATGGTTTCTTTTTTCCTCTTATGAGTATTAAGCCATATCTGTCAGTAGTCAGTCTATAAATTATAATATGACCAAGCCCTAAGGAAATTTTATTATGGGTAGCCTTATGTTAGTAGCACGGTTGGTTGAACCAATTTTTTCAAAAACAAATAGCATGAATAATTATGATATTATTACATATAATACAATATTTCTTGTTAACTTACCATAGATATCTATATTCTATACTATACATAGTACACCTATCTGTGTAACTCACCGACGTTAGATAGTCAACACCAACCGTATCGTAGACCACAAGTTCGTAGTATAAAAAATGTTTAATTAATTGAAATACTTTGAAAGTTACCTTGTGTACAGAAAATAATAGTATACGTAATGGTGAAAAGTTGCATGTCCTTTCGAATTTTTGAAATAACAACAAAATTACACATAAATTATATTTTGTAAACATTTTTTCTTGTAACGTCTATAAAAAAAAATTCAAATGAGCAAATTTTATATTTTTAAAATAAAAAAAAAATTATAAAGGAACCTTGTATTAAATTTTCAAGCTCGTTTTTTCCAAAAACTTAAATTTGATCATGTATTTAAATCGACAAAAAAGTCGAAAATTCCAAATGTCTATAAAATATAAATGGTACAAAAAGAGTCAAAATATTTTGAAATGTATAACAAAACTAGAAATTCTTGTATAAATAACTGCTGAAAAATGTAATTCTCTTGTTATGTATTTTTAAAATTAATCATTCCGCATAGGGTCTATAAAATAAATTCTTCTATACAGTAAAATGCTATTTAATTTTACGAAAAATATGCAAAATAACATTTTATTTTTGAACGTATTAGAAAGTGTATAAGTTTGTAGTGTACCTATCTAACGTTTTTTTTAACAGCCAATTAAAAATATACAATCATACACATTTCTAAGCCCAAGTCATTATGTGTGAATCATGGCAATATGGCATTAACAGAAATTAAAAATTAATTTTATATTTATATAGTTACCTTATGAAAATGATACAAATATACAATTATTGATTTGTATGCTAGCAGCTAGCCACAATTAGTAAATTCTTACACAAAAAACATAAAAATACATAATTATTTTCTACAGAACTAAATTTTCTCATTTAAAATCACAGGATACAATTTCAAAACAATAAATCAATAAATAATCAATTAATTTTATATTTAATAATTAGTGAAATAAAAAAAAAAGCTAAGTGTTATTATTTTAATTTAATCAGTTCTCATACATGATCGGATTTAAAATACTATGAATCTTACAAAATTTAACATATTATACAATACAATAATTATTGGAATTAAGCCAAATCACATAGAAAAAAAATGAACATACAATAAAAACTTAATAATATTGAATTATTATTCATGTTAACATTATTATTAATAATTAGTAGTTTGCAATTTATTGCTAATTGAAAATATAATCAAAATATTTAAACATATTCCAAATCGGGTTTTATAGCAGAAAAATTCAATTCCATTTCAGTAAAAACTTGAAAATCACAATAATTGAACCATACTTTTTCATTTAAAAATCTAGAACCAAGACAATGACACTGGATAAAATCCAACAAGTTTTGACATTTACCACGATTATAAGGACTCTTATATCCTTTTCCGTGTGGAATAAAGTGTTCGTAACGTGCAGCATTAATACGTTCATTAGTAGTCATACCAAGCCAGACAATTTGGTAAGTCTGACATCCTAACAGCATTGATACCCAAATCGAATGTAAAATAGCATTGATCATAATCCAACTGACCCAAGAATCTAGTATGAGAACTTCCCAAATAACATAAAATATATTATAATGAAAAGTTTGTTCATTAAATTTATTTGCCATATTCAGGTATTTTATGCTTCCATAAATTATAAAACCGCATGCTACAAGTAATGATATAAGATATCCAATAAAGTGACGATGATTTGAAATACCAATGCAATTGTTTACCCAAGGACAATGATGATCAAACTTTGCTATACATCTGTAAACATAAACACAATAAATAGAAACAATCTGCTTACACAATTAATTTACTATTCTTACCTATTACAAATACTACAATGTTTTGATCTGATTGGCTTTTTAATCAAACATGTACTACAAAACCCATCCGAACCAAATCCAGAGCTTTCAGCCAATTCAATGATAGCATTATATTGATCATTTTTGGTATTTGGCACATATCCTGGATTGCCATTCCAACTGTACATAAAGTTGTACCACAACAATGACGTAGTAACAAAAAAACCAACTGAACACCAGAAACTTATGATGGGTAAAATCCAAAATATCCAAGTGACGTACATCCAAAATTTTGTTGCAAAATAAACTGACACAGGCAGTGTTTTGGAAACTGATGCATATGTACGGTTTAGTTTGTACATAATGAGATAGCCAATAATCAAACAACATAATTTTGCTACATAAATCATGTGAGAGTCCAATACAAATCCAATCACATAAAATGCTATAGTAACGATTGTAGTAGATATAGTTTGTTCATTTAATTTTAATAAAATATTCTTTGGTTTCATTTTTTCATCAACAGTTTTTAATGTATTCAATCCTATCCATACCTCTGATCTCGACTCGTGAATTAAATTTAAAGCAGTACATCCTATTGAATTTCTAATTGTTAATGGTGATCCTCTCATGACTAGAATACTGATGGCTGTTGGATTCCGACTAATTAGAGCCCAGTGGAGTGGAGTGTTTCTATGCACATCATCTTGTATGGACATAGAAGCACCAAGCGTTATTAAAAGTTTGGTTGGATCAAGTCCTAATGACTTAAATGAACTCCACATGAGAGCAGTCATTCCATTTTTATCTCTCAAATTGACATCTACACCTTTGGCAATCAAATAAGCTGCAATTGCTGTGAAGCCAAAGTGTGCAGCAATATGCAAACAAGTGCGTCCTTCAATATCATAAAAACACGGATCTGCTCCGTTGCTCATCAATAACACTACTGCAGATATATGACCTTGCCTAGTTGCCCAGTGCAGTGGAGTTGCCCGTAGATCACCTCCAACAGGGTCTACAGCTGCTCCTTTTGAAATTAAATATTTAATTACATCAATCTTATTGTTAATTGCTGCCCAATGTAGGAGATAAATATTTTGAGGATCTGGTTTGTTTATATCATAACCACTTTCAATTATTTCTTTACAACGGTTCAGCAGTCCATACTGAGTCGCTTTAACAATATCAAAGTTTTTTGCTTCTTCGTCTGGAATATTTGGTTTTCGAGTATTTGGTGGCTTTTTGGTGAATACAGGTACAGTGTCTACGGTGCTTTTGGCTGATGATATAGCACCACAGCCATCCTGTATAAGACCGAAGTGGCCACATGACGAATGCATTATTCTGCAAAATTTCAATTGTCAAGGAACAAAAAAAATTGTGCAGACCAGACGCTAGGAATATCCACGATTCGATTTTCAGGTACGCTTACCTAGCGGTCTATATCATTGGTGCATATTGATGAGTGAATTCCTAGTATTCGGAACGTCGGGCGCCAACCCCGAGTTATAGTGCTGCATGTATCATACGATTGTCATTCATTCCTTCGAGTACGCATTGATCGATGGTTTTTCGTGCGCACATGAAATACCTAACCATTAACGACGGCAGACGAGATACCGCTAATAATAACTAATAAGATATTACACTTGGGACGAAAAATTCGCCATAGATAACTTAACTTGTAACCAGTAATCCAAGCGGACTTCAACTGACCGAGAGCCGAGAGGTTTTTGAACGAACACAGGCTGCGAGACGAGACTGATAGTGATTTGTTGTTGTGTTGATAAGGCGGACTGCGGCCCACCAGTACCGCGGTTGATATTTAGAGGGCGTGCGTGCACTTGCCGTCTATATCGATCGTGACGTAGCAATGACCCAATTTCGAAAGCGCGGCATTTTTCGTATCCACCACAAACGCAAGACCACCCCTTATACACCCCTATATGGTTATATCATTCGTAGTGGTACACATCACATGGGCACCATGCACGCGTAATAGTAGTAGTAGTAGTAGTGCCGCAACTATACCAACCATCCCCCCACCACCCCAATTACCATTAGGGCCGTTAAGTCGTACTGAGCCGATCGGTTTGCTTTTAAATACAATACGTCTCATATTACTATGATATTTAGTGGTAATAAATAATATAAGTACTTGATGGTATACTAATATACAGAAAAAATTAATATTGTTATGACAAATTAAGTTTTTTAGACTTAAATGTTAGAATAGTAGCTTAAATACTTTAATTAATTTATGTGAGCAATTTAGTATACATTTTAACAACTATAACACATATTATAATCATTTGGAACTTCATAAAATGTATACATTGCTGTTCGCAAAAAAAATATAGTATGCGTATAGCATTAGTTTTTATTTAGGCCCTTGGATAGGTACTTAGAACTTAAAAGTAGTGTATGAGTCGTACTAGTAGTATTACCATAATACGATATTACGTTATACATCTATGATCTATTTAATATATATTAACGTATTAAATAAGTACACTAGTACACTAATATATACACTAATAAATAATAATAATTAAATAAGCCACACAGGTCACAGACTACAGATTACTTTTAATACTATGGGCCCCAAATTATCTCTCTCTATTAACTAAACAAAACATATTATTAAAAAATGTTTGCACAACATATTAAAAAAATATATTTATGGTATATGTGTGGTTGATCGTATAATTAAATACATAATACAACTACCTATTGTATTAATACTAAGAATATACCTATACCTACATAATACATCAAATTAAATGTTAAAAGTAAAAATTGATTAAAAATTATTCACAAACATATTTATTATTTTCCTCGCTTTCTGTTTCAAAAATTCGTCTAAATTCCTGTTGTCTGTTATATCATTACCGATCGATAATATTCCCAAAGCATGTACCTACCTCTCTATATACATTTTATTTTCTCAATGTTGATCCTTACCTATTTTTATATGTTTCAATAATGAAAATGATCCATGATCCATTAATGGAGGAGATGTGAAAGGCATAGAGCATTGTTAAAAAATGAGTAAACACGTTTCTATATTCTGTAATGCATATATGGATATTTACATACATTTAATTAGTTTTAATTTTAAGTTGTTCAGCAAGATTTTTTGACATTTTTTGAGAACACACTAAACTGCAAAATTAAAACCATTTACTATCAACATTTTTGGGATTCAAAACTAATCATTTGCATATATTGAATGAAATGTTTGTTCTATGATATCACTAAATGTATTGTTTCCATCATAATTTCTTTAAATAAAAATCCGAATTACCTATGACTACCTAGACTCTAATCTCTAGATAAAACCAGTTATGTAATGAATCATGTTATCATGTCGTTGTTATAATAACTATTAAGGAAATAATTAAATATTTTCATGATATTTTATTCGTTTAAATTACTATTTTCATAGACGAACCACTGAGGCACTTTAGTATTTTAATTAGTCGTCATACTATAGAGCAGCGTTTCTTAAACTTTTTTATCCGTGGAACCCTTTTTTATGTGCACTTTCACCGTGGACCCCCAACTTTTTTTAGCTGTTTTTTATGGAGCTCTTAACAATAAATTATTACAGCTCGACAATTAGAACCACTACATTGTTTCAATACTTTCAATGCGTCATTTTATGTAAGGAATGTTTGCAATAAAAGTTATAATTATGTGCCAAAATTTAAAATTTTGAATAAAAACCACAAGTTTCGGGGAACCCTGAAGTGACCTCCGCGGAACCCTGGGGTTCCACGGAACACAGTTTAAGAAACGCTGCTATAGAGTATAGACTATAGACGAACATTTATAGAAACAAATTGTTTGAAAAATTACTAGTGACAGAAATATTAACCGATATTCGATATATTACATGAAATATTTAGAAAAAAAAATTGTTTTCACCCTCAATACAAAATTTCATAAATATGATTAATATAATAATATGAAAACATACATTATTATCATCATAAATAATAAGCTAAGAAATCTTAGACAATATTTGAATATTACCATACGAGTTAGCTATACTAGTAGACTATAGAAGATAATATGCTATAAGCGAAGTAACGGCTAGTTTCAACAGTTGATTATTCGTCGATAACTAAAATATAATGTAGCCAACAACTTGTTTTGTCTTTAAAAATATATCAACAAAAAAATGCGTTCAGAGTATAAAATTAAACTTTCTATATACACATAGGAACCATGTTAGTGATATCCAAGGTGTGTGAAACGTACGATTACTACTTACGATTCGTACGTTATTATGCTTAAACATAATTATTAAATTATTATTTTACATGGATTTACTCAAACCAAATGTACATATTATATTGAATAATCAAAGTCTTCGACTATCGCGTTCCCTGTGTCACTATAAAAATACGATCAGGATACAAAATACAGGGGTTGAGCTGTGGACACACGCGTCTGCTCTCTCCGGTATTATCTCAGCCAACTACCTATGGATGAAGGTTATAGGCGTCTACTGTATTTTTGTTGATATTAATTTTGAAAGCAATCACAAATCATTTTAAAAACGGTTCTGACCGTATCCCGTTTAATATGGCGTTTGCTGATATTACTTCAAAATTGTTCGGCGTTATTTGTCGGTAGTTTTAGAGCAAATTTGTTGAAAAATGACTGATCAGTTATCATTAACGTAATATCCAGACTTTATTTCTGATTTATATAACTGTGCGTCTAGTGTCTACGCTGCATGAAACTTTTTGAGTACTTCTTCTACACAAAAAAAAAATAATAATTAAAAGATGACAAAAAAAATGATTATCCAAAGTTCAACACATTTCTTTCTTCACTCTTGAATTAAATTATTGAACGTCGATGTTAAATTATTATTATTCATTTCCTACGTCGTAAATACAATTAAAATTTAGTAATTGTAGTCAATGATACCAGGAGAATGGGGATGGTTATCTAGATAGACCATTTTGGTTTAGGTAGTTAGGTGGTTGCAGGAGCAGGAGCATAGGCGGGCAACCATTTGTTTACAGTAGAATTGTTGCCTAGATTATAAGTTATAAAGCTTATTAAAATCCTAAAGGTTTCACTGTTCCAGAATAGGAAAGTCACAACGATACTTTTAAGTATACAATTGGTATAGTTACTAGGGATGAGGTACAACATGTTTAACCGGCAGCACCCTAATTTCTACCACCAACCCTGCGGCCAGCATAATGACTCTGGGTACTTACATCACTACTTATATTTTATACAAATTATACACACACATAAAATATAGCTACTACTCATACCCACGTGGATACGTATACAAAATTAAATAAATTATATATTATACGCTAATATATAATATACCCAATTTATATCAAAAACTTAACACGACCCATGAATGCATAATGCATAATGCATAAAAGTATATCATGTTTCTATAGAAATACATGTAACTATATGTCTACATATAGTTAAGGCAATAATGAGCATACCGGTGAAACCACTGAATCCTAGGATTTGCCGGTAGGTAAATTGAATTTCGGACATTTACAGATTGATGTTGGTAAAACCTATAGGTGCACAAAATAGTTCGGTCTAAAACCCCGATTGATTTTTGGAGTTTGGACTTTTACAAACGAGACTTTCCAAATCTTAAGGTATGCAATCAGTGTTGGTGAAAATCTGCAGTTTTTACTAATTGCAGTGTGATATTTTTCTCCTTCCTTTATACTCGTATATAATTAATATATTATATATTTACGAAGGTTAACTTAAAAAAAAATAATTACATTATTTAAAAATTATTTTAATATTATAGATACCATATATTATTGTTATTAGTAAATACCGATGTACATTAGAACGACACGAGTAAGATTTTTAATAGAGTTGTGGAAAAAGTATAAAACAAAAAAAAACTAAATAGTATCGACAGTTTCAAATGACTATTAAGTATTAGTTGCTTAAAATGAGCCAACATACATCATGTCTAGACTTCTGGAATACCTATGCAAATATAAATATTTGGAAAAAATTTCAAGCAAGTAAGGTTTTGAATTGCAAGTTGCAACTAAATAAAAAAATCACTTTTATCGAAGAATAGTGTTGTGTAAATATTCCTGTTTTCCCGTAGTTTTTTTTTAGTTTTTAACCTGAGGTAGATTAAAGTTGTTAAACCATACAAATAAATCCAGCTATACAATCAAATGAATATCATTTTAACAATTATTTAAAGTAAGAAACGTTCTGTGAATTTTGACAACTTCTTCCAAAGTACAAACTAGAACCAATTTGATACTAGAAATTATTCTCAAAGTTGAATATTTAAGCATTGTTACTCCACCGAAAGTTGATGGTCGACAGGTAAAAGAACACACGTTGATGTGTTACCATTACATTCATCGCGCAGAGACTAAAACTACATTAAGCATATTTCTAAACTTTTGTTAATCGTTATTATACTTTAAGTTGGTATATTTCATATAATTTTTAATTTGTATGAAGTCTTAACTGTTGAGTTTTAGCGATATAATATCTACATTAAAATATAATAATGATTATACATTTATTTTCAAGTTTTTGTTAATTTTTTTTGAAAATTCAGTACAATATCTGATTCTAATTTTTGATACTTATTCAAATCTTAAATACTCATAGTAGATTTGATGACATTTATTTATATAGCCCATAAATAGATAGAAATACATTCTGATGGATGTTCGTAAGTCATAGGATGTAAATAGTTAATAAAAAAATAATGTTTTAGTCTATAGACGCAAAATATTAATATGTGCAATGTATATTTATGTACATTTATATTCACCACCGGAGCTTAAAGGAAATTGTTTGAAACTTGAAATTTGAAACTATTATGAATTATTCTTTATTACTATAGTAACATAGTATATTTTTGGAAGCTGTGCTTCAGGTAAAAGGTACTTAACAGTTTAGTAGCATGGCCTAATTTAATTGTACAATAAAATAAATTTCAGTACCCACTTATACAGTTATTTCGCACTTTTATAGACTTTGTTTATTATTTTTGTTTATAAGCGAAAGCACGAAACCTAAGCACATATTATGATACTGAATATAGTAAATAATAATACATAAGCATCATAGTATTTACGTAAAATAATAAAATGTTAATAACACATTTTATAGTAAAACGTTATATTGATCTCATCAGTGCCTACCTAACTATATACATCTACCAGTCTACCCCTCAGGTGTGCTCGACAAATACACGACAACCCACACACACACACACAAGCGCCCGTATTATAGATTGAACCAATGGAGGTAAACCAATACGGCGCTGTGTGATGCCGGCCAACTTTTACGATCCAATTATTACAAAAGTTTCCCGGCAGAAAAACGGCAAAGTTTCTTGCCAGTCTGCCAACTCTGTTGGTATTTTATTATATATATATACATACGGCTTGCGATACCGCAGCAGGAACCATCGCATAAAACACAAACTTAACGATGCGCAGTACGTTAAAATGTTATGACCAGCCGGTATACACAATGTCTATAGGCATATACGAGTGCACCGAGTGGGTACACACGACGGAGGCATATTATACGTACACGTATATATTATTATATGTCAAAAGGCGCACGTCGGTTTTAATTGATGGGCCTCGCAGGTTTTGAATGGAGTCGCGCTCTCCACCCCCCCCAGTCCGCTTTTCATTGACCCATATTCGCCACGTATACGTCAGTTTTCCGAGTACGCACACCCTCGCGTTTTACTACGTTATGCATCACACCATGCGCACCACCTCTCGCGAGCGGCGCTGTAGTATAAATTGTTGTAGTAGTAGTAGTAGTAGTAGTAGTAGTAGTAGTAGTAGTAGTAGTAGTAGTATTGGTCCAAGGGTAGGAATATTATATAAATATAATATACATGCGTACACTTTTCCAGACGTTGCCAACGTCGGAGCGACGGATTTACACACAAATGGTTTTAAGCGTATAAAAGCCGTAAATTATAATATTATAATAACCACCACGATCTGTACCTATATATGCGCAGCCGTGTGTAGATTTGTTTCGTTCACAACTCCCATACATACGCAATAATATATAAAAATATATTGTTATGCGTTATTATCATGCGGCGGTGTACTATGACATCGAACGACAATATAATATTCGCACAACAGTCTCGAACCCATCGCGGGCGCGTTCGTCCGCGTACGGTAATAACAATATATCGTACGGACACAATAAATACCGTACGGGGGTCGTTTCTGTACGCAAGCGTACAGTCCCCGTGTAAAACGGAGCACTGTTGGATGGGCGTCCTGGAAAAATCATTTTTCCACGGTGCGTACACGCTCCCCGGCAGGTCGACGGCATAGAGTTTTATATATTTTCGTCCGGGTTAAAGATAAAATCGCCGTTACCGGAAAACAAATAACGCGTAAATGTAGCAGACATCACTCTCTACACTGCTCGCGCATAATATTATGACATAGCGCACCGACTCGGTGTAATGGTATACACACGATTAGGCGAATAATCGTTGCAAATGTGTGACAGGGACTCAAGTTCGGGATGCTTCTTCATATCGAGAAAGGTCGGTGATGATACTATATATTAATTTATATGTATATGTATATTATGTATGTATAATTGTTTTGCACGTATATCATATACGGTACATACATGCAATTGTCGTGCAAATGTGTATAAATCGCGTAAACGGCGCATTCGACACAACCCTATATATATATATATATATATATATACAATCTTATACAAATATTATTGTGGTCAAAGAGGATCGAAGATAGAATAGAAATGTTCGTGTCAAAATGAGGTCAAACATTATGATTGGTCTACCCAAAATTATTTTTACCATTATTTATTTATTGGCTTTAGTAAATATAAATTATATATATGGATAAATGATAATAAATATGAGTTGAGGTCATAGTTGACACAAATTAAAAATATAATACACTATTATAGTTTGGTGCATTAGGACAAAAATCATTCAATATTTTAAGAAAAACAAGTGGTATAACCACGCGTTAAATTTGTGTTTTTTTTAGGGCCGCGATCGAGCTCAAGACTTGGCCACAACGTCCAGACATGGCCAACAACCATTGCCGGCTGGGACAAAAACTAAAGATGCACTGCCAGTGGTTTTACAGAGTGATTTCCGAAAAGTAATTTAATTTTGGTTTTAGTAAATTCGTAATTTATTATTTACAACAGTATTTTGAGCATTATTTTTTAATTTTTAGTTAAGTGGAATTAGTAAAGAAGATTTTCGATTAATCGATACCATTGAAAATGAGTATGATGCAACTACAGCAGCGGCACTTGATGCAGTACAACGTAGAGGTGAAATGGTTGTCCGAATACTGGACCCGAGAATTCACCTCACTAAAACTGCTACAGATGCGGCTAAAAAATTTCTTATGCTTCAAGTAAGTTAAAAGTACATTTATTAATACGATTATAAATATTGATTCATAATATTATTTAAATGTTATTATAGGATTCTAACCATATAGTTAATCTAGTTGAGATAATAAAGAGACCTGGTCAGACTTTAGGGTTGTACATTCGGGAAGGTAACGGCATAAATCGTCACGATGGTCTATTCATTTCTAGATTAGCTCTTGAGTCGGCAGTATATAATAGTGGATGTATACAGGTAAACAACTTACAATTAATATAAAGTAAATAACTTAACATATTATAATATAAACGAATAAAAATAAATATTATAGTATACAATATAAAAACGTGTGTTTTTAATTTCTTTAATATTTAGGTTGGTGATGAAGTATTAGCTGTAAACCTAGTTGATGTTACTAGAAAAGCCGTAGACGAGGTTGTGATCATTATGTCAATACCTAGACGACTGGTATTAGCTTTAAGACAAACAAGAGGCATGCATCGAGCTTCAGTCAATGCTTCATTGGCATCTGCCATGCCCAGTCACCAACCTCCAGTAGTTGTGATTAAAAAGGATATTAGTAGAGAATCAGATGACCAACATGATGATGATGATGATGATATGCATATGAAATCATATATGACTACAGGGTGAGTACATTTAAAATAGTAATATAAATATAATATCTAAATAATATTTAGATCATACAAATATTTTTAAAGCATGTTGACTGCCAGTGGTCACACAATATGTATTATCGACATGCCAAAAATATTTATAAATATCATTACAAATTTGTTTATACTATTGTATTTAAGAAAATATTAAAAGATATTAAAAAAATGTTCATTACATCCAAAAAAATTATAATGATTCCCACTACTTAGTTCATTATGGCCATATTAGGGCCATGGAAAAGTTAATATAAAACCACATTAATTTACGGCGGTAATGGCATGCATAACCTAGTATTAATGACCAACTATGGACGCCGGCTTTCGCAAAAGTATACAATTTGAGATAACAGATAACCGCCAGCAGTCACATGGCAGTCAACGTTTTATTAAAATATATTATGTATTATGTATATATTATGTAGAGTAAAAATCATTACTAGTATATATTTGAAGGGACAATAAAATTGATCATAATTTATTTCAATGTTATTAATAAACCATAATATATCAAAGAAGATAAATAATAACAGTTAATTAAAAATAATTAAGAAATAAATAAATTATTTAGTGCATTAATTAATGTATTGATAATTTATTATTGTCAAAACTAATCATATAAATAACTATTTAGCGATTTTTTCTTATATATTTATGAAATAATTTAACGTATGCTCTATAATAAGGTCATAAAAAATTTAAACAAATATTAAATATAATAGTAGAGTAAATCAAAGAAATAAAGAAAACATGCACGAACAACGACGAAGAGAATCTAGAGGAAGATCACAATCTCAACTTGCCTTGGATTCAAATGGCGATATTTCTGGAGATCTCTACTACAATTCACGGCCTCCGGAATCAAGAAGACAAGCTTCTACGGTATGCACTATGAATGTTGACTATTCTATGATTAACTAAAAATACTTCACTAAATTCTAAAACTTACATTATATTATTCAGCTGGATCGTCGTAATAATTGGTCGTATCAACCTCCTCATCCTCCAGTTTCTAATGAACAACCCAAACCTCAGCATTTTCAGCCATTCGATAAAGCATACCCTAAGACTTTAGAATCATTAGCTGAAAAAGTACATCCGTTTTGTCCAGGCGGACAATCCTCAACTGGCAGAAGAATGTCTGCAACAACTACACAGCAACAATATCGCCGTAATAATATTCCAAGATCTGGTTCAGATCAGTATCTACCTAGATCTGAATATGATTATGGAAACAGTAAGTTAATAAAAATAAAATATGTTTAATTCAGTGTTCATACATCATACATACTTTCAAATACATATTAATATCTTTTTAGGACCATATCGACAATCGCAAACACTGATGAGATCCGGACTTAGAAGTAGTGCTGGCGCTGGATCCGGTACACGTTTAGTTTCACAATACTCGCAAGGTTCGTCTAGAACATTACCAAGACACCTAGATTATGCGTCAGATACAGAAGCAACCAAAGTAACTTCTACATCTCCATATTACTATAGAGGTTCTTCGCAAATATCAGGTTTGATCTAAATTTCAAATAACTATTTGGTAATTTAGTAATTATTTTTAAATTAATGTTTTAGGTGTTTCAAATATATCAAGATTGCAGGGCAGTTCCACAATATCTAGAAGTAATTCTTTAAGATCAAATTCACTTCCTAGAGATATTCGTACCCCACGAACCCCACTTTCATCTCTCAACACGAGGTTCGCGACATTGTATTGTTTATTACTTACGATATATTACTCGTATTAGCATGATACATTTACATCATATTTACATTTAAAATATTATTATAAAATTCATTAATAATCAATTATAATACGTATTTAACAGCTTGAGAGGTAGTTTGAGGCGATACAATACACAGGACAATCCTAAAATATCATCTTCTATGTTAAGTGATCATGAAGATAGTGATGGTAATCTTAGTGCTCCAGAGTTTCAAATGAGGCGCAAAAATCGATTAGTCAGCTCTCCTAGTGTATTTACAGCTGATGAATATAGAGCGTGGATGAGTAGAGCACCGTCGACCAGTGCTATTTATGATCGTATTCGTAACGTTTGCGATCCATCATTAAAACAACAAAAAGTACAAAGATTCACATTTAGCGCTGAAAACCTACCAGAAAGAACAAGGCATTCGGAATTAATGAGTTATTCCGGAACAAATGCAGATTTAAGACCATTTAGAGGTCTTGGATCTCCGGCATTACCTTCAGCAACGACATCGACATTAGACAGACATACTAGAACGTCTTCATTAAGAAGAATTCGACATCTTTTAGAACTTGAAGCTAAACATTTAGGTCGACGTAGTCCATCATCCACTTCAGATTTACAAGCCGACAGAGCTAGAGTATTGGAAATTAATCCAGCTGGTAAATTTTTAACCATACATTTCTTGTAATACATTTTTCATTCAATAGTTATTTATGTATTTATTTTTTTTTAAAATAGAGTTCTTAAAATACAAGTTTGAAAAAACTTCAATAGACAATGCCCCACCAATAAGTGGTTTATTGTGGGTGCATCTACTGGCTGGCAGAGGTCTCAGAGCGACTCCCACTAACGTATTACCGGGTCAACCTACAAATGGTTGGTATAGTTTAATATATCTAGTTATTTTAGTCAATATAAACTAGAAAATTATTTTTAAAAACAATTTTTATAGTTATGGCGCCCACTGGTAGTTCAAGAGACTTGTATTGCGTTCTGGAGTGTGATCGAGTGCACAAAGCCAGAACTGTGGTGCGCACTGGTGATCTAGTCTTTGATTGGGATGAAACATTTGAATTAGATCTACTTTCAAACAAAGAATTAGACTTTTTAATATACTCGTGGGACCAACAATACAGGCACAAGTTATGCTACAAAGGATCAGTACATCTGGCATCTTTAGTTAGAGATAGTCCCGTACATCAATTAGCTTTAAAAATTGAGCCTCGGGGTACATTATATTTACGGTTAAGGCACACCGATCCTTACCAGACTTTTATCAGGAAAACTTTAAGAACTTCAACCACTTTACCACCGAGAACAAAAACTGCTGGACTATTTGGTATGTATTTATTTTACTTTAATGAATTACTAATTATATAACCTTCGATACTGTTATTTTTATTTGAAAACTGATTCTAAACTATATTTACTAAAATATATAGGTATTGATCTCGAGTCAGTAGTCACTCGTGAAAGTGGCGCAATTTCCAGTTCTTTATCTTCATTAGCACAAGCACCAGCCACAGCATCCGTACCAGTCATTGTTCGGAGGTGTATTGAAGAGGTCGAACGTAGGGGTTTAGATATTATTGGCCTTTATCGACTTTGTGGGTCCGCTTCTAAGAAGAGGATTCTTCGAGAAGCTTTCGAACGTAATCCCAGAACTGTGGATTTATCGCCGGACAACGTGCCCGATATTAACGTAATCACGGGTAAATACAGTAACAATTCAATTGTACAACTATTCATTTCTAATATTTTTCGATTTTAGGTGTCTTAAAAGACTATTTAAGAGAACTTCCCGAACCACTCTTCACTCGTTGTCTATACCAAATGCTTCTTGATGCGCTAACAGTATTGTTACCTGACGATCCACAGGCCAACGCTAAATTGATGTTATCGATTTTAGATTGCTTGCCAAAGTTGAATAGAGTATGTCGCATATATTTATATTCGATGATAATAAAAATTTAAGACAATAACTTATTTCATTATAATTAAATATGTTTTTTTTTCTTACAAAGGCTACGTTGACATACATTATGGACCATCTGGCACTTGTCGTGTCACAATCCCCGCGAAACAAGATGTCAGCACAAAATTTATCTATATGTCTGGCCCCTGTGTTAATGGTTCAAAGCGAGGCGAAAGAAAAACCTATCGATTTCCAACAGCCCGTCAACGTGTTACGATATTTATTAGAGATTTGGCCACCTAAATCAGGTTAGGACAAGTTTATTTATACGGATTCGGTTAAAAATCACAAAAAATACCTGCAAGCAATGTCCATTTCGCTCGTGCAGCGCGAAAGTATGTGGCATAGTGCAGTGGTTCAAAGGCGACCGTGCGTATATGTATATATATAATATTATATACCTACATACGTACCGAGGATATATTATAAATGCATTTTAAACTCTATTTTCTTATAGATTTAATATTCATATTTTTATATAGTTTTATATCGCTCGTTTCATATATTCACAGCTCTGTACACTGAAAAAAATATTTAATACATTTAGATGATAGAATTTTAGGCAGTAAAACTATTTTTTAGCCAGATATATACTATATTATAGTTGATATTAGATATAAAAATTATATTTCCTATTTTTAAAATTGAGCACAAGTATTTCAAATTTGTAGTGTATAGAGCTTTTCACATTTTAATTTTAACGAATAATAGTGGAGTTATTTTTTTGTCGTAATATTAAGTTTTGAGTAGATACAGATAATGTAAGTAATAAGTAAATGGTAGAGTGAAAGGGGTTAAAAGCCGCCCGCAAGTTTGTATGCCTATTAAAAGATTCTGCTTACTATAAACACAACTTCTGCAGGCTAAACCTTTAGACGTATTTGCTAGGGGTTCTTAACCAGTGGTCCATGGAACCCTTGGGCCTTGAAGGTCCATGGTGGGTACTCAGTGGCGATTTTATTTTAGTATTTGTATTATTATTCAGGCGTATTCAATTTCATAAAAAATGTATTACTATAAGTTATTTTTATAACTATTGTAGTACTCGTAATAATAATACTTTTTTAATTAACATTTAAATATTAAACAGATAATAATCAAAATCAAAAAAATTTTATTTTGTGTGTGAGGAAGGGAGGCGTGGCTATATAGTATATATGTACTGAAAAGGTTAAGAACCCCTGCTATATGCAATAATCATATAATATATATATATATTCTCCAATGTATTTAACAACATAAGTAGTATCTACCTTTATATATTATATATACGATCCTCTTTTGCCACGGGTTCGCGAGCATTGTGAACATTGATGAGCCCCGACCATATTTTCCAGACAGTTCGGGAGTGTTTGCCGCCGTCGGTCGTCAACGGCGTTACTCGGCCCCCGCCGCTGCCCGCGAAGCCATCCTGCGTGCCCGCTGTGCCAACAAGGCGCGCCCCGCCGCCCGTAATTGTAGCGTCGCCGACCAGTGACACGGCCACGTCTGACGACGACGACGACGATGACGGCCACGGCCACGACGGCACGGCCATCGAACCTCCACAAATACCGGCCAGGTCTAACGCGCACCGGCTGACCAAGGTGGCGGCGCCAGAGCCCGACGAGAACGCAGCCGAGACACCAAGCTCGTCCACCGGCACGGAAGACTCGCAGCGCGACGTGGCCGAGCGCGCCGCTGAGGCGGACGAAGAGAGTTGCGGAGAAGAACAACTGGAAAGGAGACCGCGAGGACTGCAGAATGCCAACACCGCCATTAAGCACAACGCTAATAATAATAGTAATAATAGTAATAATAATAATAACCGCCAATAATGTTGCGACTTGTATTATATTAAATATTAGTGAAAAACGTTTGCCAACTTTCTACCAAGATAATAATACTATGTAATATTTAGGTACGGGAGTTCCGTATAAATGATCTGTATTGGACCGACAATAATAGTATTATTATCTTTTATGATATGCCATGTTATTGTTATTTTTGTTGTTGTTGTTACTGTTATAGAAGAAACAATACATAATATGTAAAACATATTATTATCACCTTGAATTGATTATTATATTAAAAAAACGATAATTGTTACTCCTCGCGGTAGGTAGGTGTTATACTACATAATATACTAGTGTCTAGTATAACAGTCTGTGTATTATAAAGGTCTGTGATGTCACATCCTACTTAATACAGTAATATATCATAGAGTAGGTACCTGTATAATATATACTACATAGTAAATATATACAATAGATACAGAAAATTGATACAAAATTCCATACATATTCAACATGTACATAAAATATTTTAATGGTAGGAAATAATAACCATATATTGTAACATAATTTTATGTATATTTCAAAAAAAATTCCTAAAACTTTTAACAAAGAAAACAAAAACGACAATAAATATAATACGGTATAATATTATTTATACTTCGTTTTTAATATAATCATTTATCATATTAGCACTATGTGTTTACAACAGGACAACCATGCAAAGAAAAAAGTACGGTATCATAAGGTATCTAATTACATAAAATAGTTTAATTGAGGTTTAAGACCATTGGCACGCTAATTGTTTTTCGGGTTTTCCGTTACAAACTTTCTATAATAACTCGATCCTCGTCACAATAGGTAGATAAATGAATAAAATAATTATATTTGAGGAACTTCAGTCATACAAGTAATATAAATGATAGGATTTATTAATAAATGGTAGAAATTTGGCAAGCATAATTCCACATAATTCCATACTTACGCACAAATATATATAATATATATATGTTTGAAAGAAAATTAAGCACAAAATAAAAAATTATAAATACTGATTTATATCACATGTTAATAAATATGATTTAAAAATGACATTGTATAAATTAAAAAAATTAAATAAATTATTTCGGGCACCTATTATAGATGATTAATATTATATAAACATAAAAAATAAACATTTACACGTAGTTATTGTAAAAAATAGTCCATATCAACACAATCCCAGAAGCACTTGATTTCAAAACGATATTATGTTTTAAATGTTTTGATTTCAAACAAAATGTAACGAAATAATTTTTTGTAAATAAAAAATGGTTGTTCCTACTGCTTCAATGTAAAACTTAAATGAATAAAAATAACAGACTTTTTCACGATAATGAAATTAAAAATAATTGACGTGCACAGGAGTGATTTTTGTTGAAAACATTTTCTAACAAATATGTATTTAGAATTTTTTTTTAATTCTTAAAACAAAACGGTTTTTAATTTTAAAAGCTATAGACTGTATGACTAATCTTATAATTCAACAAAATATGTATTAGTTAATTATTTTCATTTTATTATTTTATTTATTTATTTATTTCTTACAAACGTATTATTTATTAATAAATAAAAAATATTATGTTTACTTGTACCATATATTTGTACCAAATAAATGTTGAGTGTCAATCGGTATTTCAGTAAATGTATATCATTATATTAACAAAACAGTAGGTACCTACTAAGTTTTATTAAAACTATATTCTATTTGGTGCATAATAAATGAGTAAAAACATATACACTAATATATACTATACTATACTATATAGAAAATTCGTTTTAAAATAAATACTTAAATAATTTATCCATAATAAAATATGGTGTTTTTTAGATGTATCAATGATGAATTCTAAATTAGTTAAATTTAAATGCCTACATTAAGTATTCTAATAAAACTGTTTTACTAATTTATTTTACAAGTTATATTTTATTATATTATTGTATAACCTAAAATTTACTCAAAATAAAAATAAATACCAATATTTTGAAGAAAATTATGAGATCCTTGTTACAATTAATTTTAATAAAATCAATTTTTGACCAATTTAAAAGTGGGAAAGTAGGCAACCACTTTGCTGTACTGCAGTAGGTATTCAGTGTACCTTTGTTATTAAGTAAATCACTGTAATGCGGATGTGTTGATTTTATTTCACTAATAATTGCATATACAAAAAACGATTTTAAGCGGAAGTGATCTATCAGCGATCAGCCTATATTACTTTTACATCAAAGCCTGTAGATAGTATACAATTGTTGGAAGATCGTCGGCCTATCGCTAGTGGTCGAAGTGTGGGGGGGATAGGGTAAGATGGCATCCCTCCACTTTCCACTTTACATTTTCCATCCCTTCACTCATTTCGTACGACTGTTTCAGAGTTATATATTAATAATGAAAGGCATCCCTCCACTTATTTTGAGCCCATCGACCACTACCTATCGCCTATAAAGTATGCCCTAACGAGGTAATAATAATATTCGATAGTTTTTACTTCTTAGTTCTCATCTAAAATACAGAAAAGTGATGAGCTCCTTGCGGATGTCGTATAGAACAATCTTAGATCATAATATACTATAAGTTTAATCTACAATACCTATGGTCTAAGACCTAAGTAACTAAGTTTACTTGACACGTTTTTCTTTAAAATTCAACAGCACGCCTAGTTATTTTCAGTCATGTACATTAGTGACCTAGATGGCTCCAAAACGTAAATTTTTATTAATTATGTAAAAAAATGTTGTTGCCACTTTATCATAGCTTGATACACAACTATTTTATCTATAATGACAAAATAGATTATTTAGGTATGTCAGTAATTTTGTGATACCCACCATGTTCTCCGAGTCTCTCCGACCACACCTTATCCCGACAATAGCCTAGTTTTCTTATTCTCATTGGTAGAATATATAATAATATACATACATAAAATAATGTTAGATTGTCTTTTAGAGGATAATTCATAACTGCCAATGAAAAGAGGCGAATCATGACTACCTATATGGCTGTGGACATAAACATCAACCAGGCCAGAAGTCGTATTGTTGTCTGATGATGACATACATACTGATTTTGTCATGGTTATATTTATATCATATGTCATATTCAAATTATTCAATAACACATTAACACACCGATAACTGACACTATAAAAAAATTGTGTCCAAAGCCCTTCCCTCTAGTTTGCTCCGTTGTTGAATGAGTGGTCGTATATAGTACCTGTAGGTACTATACCTATTCGTATTTAGCCAGTGACCAACTATACCTGGGTATTAGAGTTTAAAATCATTTTTTACTATACGTTGTTTGCACTTAATATACCACCCCAGCTGTTCATCTTTTAATTAGAGCCTTGACTGTATTTACTACTTCGGTTAGATAATAGTATCACTTTTATATATTATTTGGTCTTGACTAAATTCGACAGTGATTCTACTGCTTGAGTACTAGTAGTGAGTACTCACTTTAGCACTAATAGTATATAATATTTTCAGTATGATGCATAGTTTGGTAAATAAATTCATGGTATTTCAGAGTATTTACTATTTTAGTATTTATATATGCATTCTCGGTACTGATAGCTGTGAAATATTTCTACTTTTCTTTCTATAATTGGTAAGAGTGTATCTGTATATGTCAATCTCTTTTTTCTACATTGAAAAATCAACGTTCAAATTTGTTGTCGCGTGATTACAAGACAGACCAAACAGGCTCTGTATTGAATTTCAAAACTTCCATCGCTTATTTTCTACAGGGCTTCAATATCATAATTTGAAGTACCTTAGGTTATAGGTATATGACACGAGTAGGCAAATCTGGGCACTAACTAGTTAGTTTTAATTCATATTAAATTTATAACTTACCTAGTTGATATAATTTAATTTTTCTATCGTCACCTATAATCTAAGCTAAGTAGGTACTAAAGTACCGATAGACACTGAGTAATTAATTTATGCAATGCTTAATATAATTTGAACGAACGGGTTTATAAATTTATATTTTAAACTAAAAAACCTTACTTCTAACTTAAGTTTTTATTTTTACCAAACTTCTAACTAAATTAGAAATTCGGAAAATTTCAGAAACTAACTTCTTTTCTTACTTAATTCTAACTTAGTTTTTGTATTAAAGGAACTTAACTATATGTAAATATATACGAAAAAAATTGTAGAAAATGCAAAAAAAATGTAATAAATATTCCCAATTCTTAAAGAACCATTTCATGGTGTTATTAATTAACACTAAAAGAAATGTAAAATGTGGGAAAATAAATTTATAATGTTTCAATTATGGCCGAAAACTGTTTGCCATTTTGACATTTTACTAAACTGAAAAAATAGTTTTAAAACATACTTGAATAGATAGTACTTTAGAATATTAGTGCGATAGACATAAAATGCACATCGCACCGTTATTGTTATAATATTGAGTTTAATATTCAATTTTATAATTATTAAAATAAGGAAGAAAAAGTTCAATTTTTGTAGAAAATATTAAATAATATGCTTCACATACGTATGGAAATTAAGAAAAAATGGTATGCATTTTTCTCCTTAAAATTACAAAATACTCAAAATATGCATTTAAATATTCTATTTTTAAACTCACCATAGTATAGCTCGGATTTCCATCTCGGCTGCAGTCTGCTATAAATCGAGAGCATATAGAATAATTTGCAACTCCTACAGCTTCCGAGCCCTAGCTATAACTATACCCTATAGGCTATAACATTTTACAGTAAAAAAGAATAATTTCTAGTTTAAAAAAAAGAAGTTTGTATCTTATTAATCTGTCCATGTGGGTATCACTGTACTTAATAATAATTGATAACCTTGTATAACTAGACTAACAGACTGATAACCGGTAAAATAACCTAAAAAAAACAAATGTTTTATCAAACAAAAAGTTTCCAATATTGTATACTGTATTTGAAATTGAAATCAGTCGTTCTGATCGGTTTTCTGATCGTTAGTCAATAGCCATTACTAATCCAATTCGTTCGAAATTCGAATTAAAATTGTTGTTATTGTATTAACTGTTGTCGATTTTTGAAATCACTACTCACAGCGGAATGGCTGCAGTATTGGATGACGTTAGTAAGTCAAATGTATTAAAGAAGACTGAAGAAATGTTCGATGATGACGAACAAGAAGAAGATGTTGAAGATGGACCGACGGTTACTAAGAAGAAGAGGAAGCGAAGGAAGAAGAAGGCTCAAACAAATGGTAATTTTTTAAAAACATTTTTTAATTTCTTATGTCTTACCATGTGCAATTTTTAGATGATGGAACAGATACAAAAGAAAAAGATGAAGTAGAAAAAGAAGTGACTAGCGGTGTAACCAATATTAATATGGACGATGAAGCCGAAGCTGAGAAAAAAAAGTCCAGACGCCGTACAAAAAAGAAGGAAACCAAGGTCGATGAACCAGAGTCCAAAGAAAAAAAGCAAACTGATCCTCCATCAGTCCCAATTCACGAACTCTTTCCAACAAGTTAGTTATCTTAATACAACTTTACTTTAATTTTTATGGAGTATTAACATTTGATTTTTTGTTTGCGCTGTTTCAATAAAATGGCCTATGCAATATTGCATTCTCTAAGAGTTAGCAAGGTTATTAATTTTTTCAAGTTTCTCTAAATTGTTGTCTCATTTTATTAAAAATCAAATTTTTGTTACTCTTCAATTTAAAATTAAGAATAATTATATTCATTAATTTGGTTAACATAATTAAAAACAAAAATGTTTAAACTTAATCACTCTGTAGATTGAAGTGGTGTGATCTTTTAATCATGGTCAGATGATAGTTGTATATTATCCTATAGTGTTTAAAGATAAGATTAATCTAATGTAAACAATACAGGGTGTCTCACAACATTTTAGACATTTAAAATGTTGGCTCAAAAAATTTTTTTTTTAATTTGTAAATATTTGTGAAAACTATGTATAAATTTTTT